GAAAGCACCTCCGAAAGCACCTCCCAATGGGGTGTGGCAGTGCCATAATCCCTTCTCCATTTGTCTCTCCTTTTGGAATTTTGTTTACACAGGTTCAGGTGCCTGGTGTATTTTTTGTACCTGGACTCAAATCATGTAGATCTGGCTCCAATAGCCATGAGGCCACCAGGCCAGTCTCAAAGTCTCAAAGCTTTTTTTTTTTTTTTGGCAAGTGAGCTTTTTTCAGTTCTCTAAGTTAACAGTGGCATTATTTGGTAAATTTCACTCTCTGTGTTCTAAATAATGCTCCACAATTCTTTTTCTTTCTTTCTTTTTTATTTATTTATTTTTAATATTACATTCAATCACATATGTCTTCACAGTGTATAACATTTTTTTCCCAGCACAATTACTATGCATATCAGTCAAGACAAAGACATTACTGGGGGTGGTAGGTGGCATGGTGGTTAAGGGCACTGGACTCCCACATGGCTGACTGCAGTTCGAGTCCCAGACTTGGTGGCTTGCTTTCTCACTCTCCCTATCTTTCTCTGTCTCGCTCTGTCCCTCTCTGGTCAAATTAAAATAAATAAATAAATGAATAAAATTAAATAAAAAATTCTTTTAAAAAAGACATTACACATCATCAGCAAATAGCTTTTCATTGTTTTTTTTTCAGATTATTATTATTTTATTATTATTTTTAAACATTCGATCACTATGCATCATTTGACTTGTAAAGAGAATTTATCCAATATGAAATACTTCTCAGACCAGTCCAGTTGAATGTTTCACAGCTCTAATGAATGAATAGCTTTCTAAAATGATTCACTTAAAACCAGAGACTGACTAATTTAGGAACATTTTACTATTCAAAGTGTCCTTTGCTATACCCTGACTGGCAGCATTACCATCACCTGGGAACTTGGTGGAAATAGAGATTTTCTGGCCCCGCCCTAGATGTGCTGAATGAGACCCTGCATTTAAACAAGATACTCCAGATGATTGTATGTGCATTAAAATTTAAGAGGCATCTGGGACCAGTAGGTGGTTTAATGGTTACTTTGCTGGACTCCCACATGATCAACTGGTTCGACTCCAGACCCAGCAGCTTCAAACTCACCGGTCACATGTGCCTGCATGTGTGGCCATGCCCCTTGGGAAGTGATCTCTTGCTTTCTGTCTCTCTCTGTCTCTCTGGCCAGCACACGCACCCTATAGCAAAAATCTCTGTTAAAAAATTTAAGAGGCATCATCACACTGATGTCTACATCACACTAAAAGTCTACATCATTATTCATTAGGAAAATGGTTATGCTTTTGTTAAAGTGTTTCCAAAGATGCTCATCTTCTGCACCCTGAAATCCACCTCATCTATGAAGGACTTCCTTTGTGGGCCAGCCAGGTAGACCCTAAACTGGTGTTTTGCCAAAGGGAGAGGAAAAATACGTTAGATAGGTTAGTGATAATTCTCATATCACCTCTTTTTCTCATTTCTGCAGGAGAGGAGAAAATCTTTGACTTTTTGGCAGCTGCAGGGATATGTTAGAATAATTTCTTCCTGGGGACCAGGAGTTAGCATAATGGCTATGTCGCTGAACTCCCATGTAGCCGACTGTGGTTTGAGTCCTGGACCCAGTGGCTTAAACTCACGCCGGGCACGTGCCCAAGATCCCGAGAGGAGAATGGAGGAGAAGGGATTGAGGCGTGGCTATTCCCCCGGGAGGTGATTTCTTGCTTTCTGTCTCTCTGTCTCTCTCTCTCTTTCTGGTGAGCGCATGCACTCTATAGCAAAACAAAAAAAAGAAAAAAGAAAAAAACCTCTCCAGAATAATTTCTTCCTTCTTGGGAGGTGGTTAATACTGCAGTGGATAAACTAAAACTGAGCATCAGATTTCCTGAGAGTACAGGGGAACTTCTAGGATGATAGGAGTTTCCACAGTTCGTAGATATCCAACATAGAGATTCTCTTAATGTTCCTTTGTGCGCAATGTAGGTTACCACTGCTTACTCCTTGCCTCTTTAACCACTGTCCATAAAGACATTTAAAAATTTTAAAATACACAGGGCCAGCAAGTGGCGTGGTGGTTAAGGCTCTGGACCTCCCACATGAGTGGCCACAGTTTGAGTCCCAGACCTGGTGGCTTGCTTTCTCACTTTCCTTCTCTGTCTCTCTCTCCAGTCAAATTAAAAAAATAAGGATGAATAAAATTAAATAAAATAATTTTTAAAAGTTTTTAAAAATACTATATATTTTTGCTAAAATTTAAACAATACAGAGGCATTCATAAAGGAAATATGTTTATCTGCATGTCATTCCATTTCTGCCTTCACCCTTCTCGCTAGCAGTAGCCACTATTAATAGCTTGGTATGTGGCCTTGCAAGCTTTCTTATGTATATTCTCATATATGTATTATCTTTGCAAAAATGTGCCATGACTTTCCCCTATAACTCAGTACTAACAAACTACTCTCTATCTGGGATTGGCAGTGAAGATAATAGCTGAAAGAACTTGATATAACTAAAGTTTTGTCTATTCAATTGGCTGAGATTTTCTTGCAGACTGGAATGGGCATTATTGAAATTAGAAGTTATTGCTGGTAAAGGGTAAAGTGTAAAGATAAGTACCTTACTGGTTTTAAAAGAATGAATTCCCAGTTCCTGGAGGTATGAATTGAGATACAGCTGGAGAATGATCAATACTAAAAATAAAGAATCTTTCCCTTTCCAATAGATAAGAATGATCCATTGGTAGTCATAGCTCAGCCTTCACTGGAAATGCCACTTTTGACCTCAACTAATGAATTTTATCCTAAAATGATGACTCCAGTTCATGACAAAGAGGAGGCAAAGACTTCATCTAAGTGTTACATACAGGTGACTGGCATGACTTGTGCTTCCTGTGTAGCAAACATTGAACGGAATTTAAGACGAGAAGAAGGTGAGATACTTTTAAAACTTGTGATTTTACGTTCAGTTTGAGGACCTTGTCCTTTTTGTTCTCTTATGTTTTTTTGTAACTATGTTTATAATTCTTGCCAAGTGAGGTGGCAGGACTGCCCTGATTTCCTTACAGCCAGTTTGTTTGCATTATAGTCCCTTTAGATAAAGTTCTATTGTATTTCATTTACTTCACGATCACATTTTCACGTCAGTGTAATTTGTAGGAAAATAGTCGAAGGAAATACACAAGGCTACCATTCTTTATGGACCTTGGCTGCAGTAGATTTTAAGAAACATACATTTTCTGTTGAAGCTATGCTTCAAACTGACAACTAGAATTCATAATAGTTTCAGTATTACCATCCTTGAACCAAGTACCAGACCAAAACCTGTTTCTTTAGAATTATATTGCTCTCTTCTAACTCTGATCTCTCATCTTTACTTGTGATAAAAATGTTCAAAAGTTACTTAATTTTGTGTACAAGTTTTAATTTTAGGTACAAAATCTTAAAAAATTTACAGCATAGTTTATTATTATTATTCAGCCACACTCAGATGTTTTAGCTGATCAATTTGCAGTCATTTTTATAGACTTACCAGTATAGCATAGTTGAATTGTTAACCATACAGAGGTGTGATTATGTTTAATGAGACCAAAGTCACAGGCTTAATAATTAGACTGCCCTAGCTCTTGGTATCTTAATGATACATGCTGCTTGTCACAAGGGCTGAATAAGGAAGTTAGGATTAGTGTAAGCTTATCTCACTATTGGCAAAATAACTCAAAGTCTCTGTAATAATCACATCACCTGATATATTAAAACCAGAATATTATATCAAAATGTATGGTAGATAGAGCTACCTTTATATTATTAGGTCATTGGGAAAGTCATGATATATTTTTGTATGAAAAAGGGGTGTCATGACTTTCCTGACGACCCAATATATTGTCCATATTTCCTCATTTCTGGATCCTTCATTTCCACCTCCATTATTTCTAATAGAATGTAGTTGACTCTAAAGATTGCATTACTGTTCATTTGATTAATTAAAAAGGAAAAGAGGTTTTAAAGCAAATGAAAGCACAAATAAGCCTTCAAGGTTCTTATTTCATTTGAGAACTATTTTTGGCAATTCAGAAATAGCCTTTACATGAGACAAGCAATGCTTATCCCAATTACAGGTCTTTTTTTTTTTTAATCCATTAAGCTGATTCTTCCAGTTACTCTGTACTATCCCCTTTACCCTTGCCAAATCCAATTAGGAATACTGTTAGCCTAGCTGGGGTCTCTACATTTATTTACTTTATTAAAAGTAGCACTCTTATTCCCTCAGTTTAGTCTGTATTATATTTCTAAAGTTAAATAGGAAGAGTTCTAAAAGTAGGGTGAAGAATTCTTTTTTTTATTTCTTTTTTTAAAAAAATTATTTTAATTTATTTTTTACAGTATTTACATACAATGTACTTTTTTTTGAGAATGTACACACATCCTCATCAACAAATAATAAACCATATCCACGTCCCACAAAGTGTGAAGAATACTTAAAATTTATCTATAATAAATATTAAACTTGTATTTTTAAAATAAAATTAAAACCCCATATTTTCCCTTCTATTTCTGCTTGGCTATGGATTACATTCAACTGAAGCAAAAAAAGTTTTTTCTTACTTTCTCTCTACCCTTCTCTTATTACTGACACTTTCCTGTGGACTGATCATTTGAATTATTTAGTACCCACAAAGCCCAAAATGTAAGCACTTTTTATAGAAAACTTAGATTATATTTGGTACTTCATTTTCTTATTAAGAACTTGTTAAATTAATAGTTGGAAATTTTTTTTCTTTTTGATCAAACCCAGAACTGATCTCTGGACTGTTGATCCCCATTCACTTCCTATCAGGTAGCCACCAAGTGCCACAGATTCCTAGAAAGGGCTATTTCTGCTATGTGAAATTAATTTTCTCCCTAGCAATGTCAGCAATAGCTGGCCTAGAGAAGTGAAATAATTGTTAATACAAGATTTACACCAGAGGACAACATATCTGCCATAGAATAAACTCCTTTGTTAAGAAATTGTGTGGCACTTTTGTTTTAGGACTATAAGAGCTTTTTAGTTTAGCGTGCGTGTGCCATAGTAAAACTTGAGAATTTTAAGAAATGATCATTATTTGATAATAGTATGATGTGAACCTTGGTACATACTAGGATTCTTTGCTACAACTGTGATGATTTTTTTTGTTCTTTTTTTAGTTTTTTTGTCATTGGGCATGTGTGTTCATCACAGAGACAGAGAGACAGTGAGAAGGAAAATGAGAAATCACCCCCGAGGGAATGGCCATGCTGCAATCCTTTCTTCTCCATTCTGATCCTGGGATTTTGGGCATGCACGCACATATACCTAGTGAGAATTTTAAGTTGCCAGGTCCAGGACTCAAACTGCAGTTTGCCATGTGGGAGTCCAGAATCTTAACCATCACTCCACCTGCTGATCTCTGTGATGATTTTCTAAGTGTATGAGTTCTTCTCTCTAAGACTCTGTCTTATTAGCATCTACAAATGTTTTCTTTATTAATTTCAAGACATGATCTCAACCTATTGCAATTCATAGGTCTTATTTAGATCCTAATTCAAACAAAAAACTGTTAAACTAATAAACAGTTATAAGACAGTTGTAGAAATATGAGTAGTGCCTGGATATTTGACTATATTAAAGAATCAGATAATGGCATTATGTTTTTTTTAAGTGTTTATTGTTTAGAGATGTATATTTAAATATTTACACATTAATTGATATGCATCTGGGATTTGCTTAAACATAATCCAGGTAGAGGTGAGGGAATAGGGTGGGTAGAAATACAAATGAGATAATATTAGCCAAGTATTATTGATAATTATGGAAGCTGGGTGATCATACTTATTAGGCTTTACCTTCTTGTAAATATATAATTGAAAATTTCCATAATAAAAAGTTTGAGAAAATAAGGCCACCTTTTCAAATAGTTTAATTTGGTTTGGTTTGGTTTCAAGACCTATATAGAAGTTAACTAGGGACCAGCAGATGGCATAATGGTTATATCACATGACTCCCACATAGTCCACCACGGTTTGATTCCCAGACCTGGTGGCTTAAAATTCACACCGGGCACGAGTGCATGCATGCCCAATATCCTGAGAGGAGAATAGAGGAGGAGGGATTGCGGTGTAGCCATCCCCTCTGGGGGATAATTTCTTGCTTTCTATCTCTCTGTTTATCTCTCTGGCGAGTGCACGTGCCCTATAACAAAAATCACTCTCTCTCAAAGGTAATGAATATATTTCTTCAGATTCACTTTATTCCTTTGATTTTGAAATTAAAAAAATACTCAAATCTTTTCAATTTTCCTAGGAATATATTCTGTACTTGTGGCCCTGATGGCTGGCAAGGCAGAAGTAAGGTATAATCCTGCTATCATACAGCCCCCAATGATAGCAGAGTTTATCCGGGAGCTTGGATTTGGAGCCACTGTGATGGAAAATGCTGATGAAGGAGATGGTGTTTTGGAACTTGTTGTAAGTAAGAATTTTTGTATAATTAATAAAATTTTCAGGAGAAACTTAATGAGGATTTAGAAAAGAGTTCTGAAGATAAAGATTGGGGAAATAAAACATATAATGAAAATTAAGTTTAAAATGGAAGGTTAAACATGACTTAATGATGGTCTTTCAAGTACACAATGATAAAGATAATTGTTGAGACCAGCAGATGGCATAATGATTATGTCACTGGATTCCCACATAGTCGACCATGGTTCGAGTCCCAAACCTGATGGCTTAAAACTCTTGCTGGGCGTGTGTGTGTGTGTGTGTGTGTGTGTGTGTGTGTGTGTCCATAATCCTGATAAGATAATGGAGGTGAAGGGATTGTGGCAGGGCCATCCTCCCTGGGTGGGGGTGACTTCTTGCTTTCTGTCTGTCTCTCTGGAGAGCACACCCACCCTATAGCAAAAATCTCTCTCAAAAAAAGATAGTTGTCATATCTCTAGTAAGAACCAAAGAAGGGCCAGCCCACATTGGTGCAGCAGTAACTCAATGTTTGCAATGCTGTGGCCATGTGTGAAGGTCCCTTGTTGCTTCCTGAGGTCTCCCTGTAGATTTCAGGTGTGCATGCATGTCCGTCATCCTGGCTTGTACTAAATAAATTCCAGTTTAAGGAAAAATTCTAATGTAAATAATGAAAGTACGAAATTACTAGAAAAAATATTTGAAGCATTTTTTCAATATTATAAAACTTTCTAACATATGGAAATATCAGGAGAATTTGTTTTATCATATATCAGACCATCAATTAAATCACTGAAATAATTTTAGATTCACAAATAAGTTGCAAAGATGATACAGATAAATTTTTTTTTGAAAGATTAATTTTATTTATTATTATTATTTACTTTTTAAATTTTGACCGGAGAGAGACAGAAAGAGAGAAGAAAGTGAGAAAGCAAGTCATCAGGTGTGGAACTTGAAGCATGGTCAGCCATATGAGAGTCCAGTGCCTTAACCACCATGCCACCTGCCAGCCCCAATATAGAAAATTTGTATGTAGCCTTCATCTAGCTTTTTTAATTATAGGCACTCCTCACTTAACAACCATTCCTACAACTAGGTTATTAAACGAATTGGTAAATAATTTTCAGCTTTATGAAAAAAAATAGTTCTGACAATTTTTACCAGTTTTCTCATTGCTTTTATGGAGGAGAAAATTTTCAGAGGTCCTTACTACACCATTTTCACTGATTTCCTTTTAGTAGATGTTCTTCAGTAACTCCTTAATCTGTTGTATATCTTTTGGTCAAATTCCAGAGTATTCCAGTGGCTGTTTGTTGACTGTTTTGTTAGTTTTTATCATTACTTTAAAAATATTTATTTGTTTATTTATTATTGACATATAATAATTGTAAGTTTTATCGTTACTTTATGAGGAAAAGATTTGTTGAGCTTCTCACCTGGTCATTTCTGAAGTCCTGCCCATCCATTTTATAGAATTTAATGCCCTACTAAATTAAAAGCACATTCAAGATACAGGGAAAAATACATTACAAAGTTGGAACACGTTTGCCATTTGTTAACTTTCATTAAAAGTAATATGGGGGCTGGCAGGTGGTGTGGTGGTTAAGGGTGCTGAACTCACACATGGCCAACTGTGGTTCAAGTCTCAGGCTTGGAGGTTTGCTTTCTCACTTTCTCTCTCTCTCTCCCTCTCTCTCTCTCTCTCGCGCGCGCGTGTGCATGTGCACACACTCTCACTCTGTCCCTCTCTGGGCAAATTAAAATAAATAAAGTTAAATAAAATAATTATTTTTTAAAAAGTAATATGGGACCAGCAGTTAGCGTAATGGCTATGTCACTGGACTCCCATGTAGTCGACCGCGGTTCGCGTCCCGGACCCGGTGGCTTAAACTCACGCTGGGTGAGTGTGCGTGCGTGCCCAAGATCC